TGTTCTGCTCAATTAAAACAAGGCAGCAGAATTCTCCAGATGACTTTTACCTCATATATATATATATATATATATATATATATGTATATTTAGAAATCTAAAGTCTTATAATTTTGTTGGAAGTATTTTTTCTTCCAATAACACAAATAAGTCTAGATAGACAGCATATGCTCCTCCTAGGTATTCAGAATTTACTACACATACCAGTGTATTCAAGAAAATTCCAGCTTTCTAAGAGCAATAACATTCCCAGATATACTAACAGTATCAAGGGCTGCCCCAGGACCAGAATGAGAGAGTCAACTAAATATTTACCATGTGTATAATTCAGACATTAAATGATATATAATCATGTATGGCATTATTATATTTTCATCCTTCATTAGAAATAATGTCTTAAAATAATGGTAAATGAAGCCCAGGCAATTTAGTGAGACCCTGCCACAAAATAAAATAAGAAAAAGAATTGAGGATGTATGTTAATGGTAGAGAACTGCCTTGCATGTTCAAATCCCTGAGTTCAGTACCTAATACTGAAGAAAGGGTATGTGGGCATGGGAGTACTTGGTAAAAGTCTTCAGTAGAAATTACAATTACAGCTGCTAAAATCCTGTGGGCTCAGGCATGCTAGCATGTAATCTCAGCACGCGGGATGTTGAAGGAAGATTACTGTGAGCTCTAGGCCAACCTCGACTACTTAGCGTCAGATCAGCCAGGCTATAGAGCAAAACCCAGTATCAAGCAAAGCAAAGCACAGCACAGTACCATGGAAGTCTAGTATGGTAGCACACAATATCAGACCTAGCATCCCAACACAGGGGAGGCCGAGGCAAAAGGCTAGCCTGAGATTCAGAGAGCAGCATGGTTTTAGCAAAATAAAAAGCACTAACCAGCCAAACAAACTAAATGACAGAAGAAAACTGTGGAAGGTATACTAAGAAATTCAGAGCAACTTTATTGTTAAATGATTTCTAAAACCTGACAAGTATATATACAAACTTAGTGTTAGAGTTTATTAAAATGCATGCTGCTAATGTGAATTCTGAACAAAGTGGGGCAAGGAGTTTTTATTTGAACTGTATTGGAATAGAATAAATTTGCAAAAAACCCTTGATTATTTGCAGACAAATAGAACTGTTTATTTATTTTAATAGTTAATTCACCAAGGATAACCAACAGAATAGAAATGACCGAAATCCTGTCATTTGTCAATTCCTTTCTTCTAGTTCTTTCACCTAGGAGTGCCTTCCCTCGTTATCTCCCCCTTCTTGTGTAGAGAAGGGTGATGCTATCACACTGCTTGACGACTTAGTATCTTTAGAGTAAAAAGAAAGCTTGCATATGAGTTGCACTAAAATGCCTTCAATTTGAATCTCAATTTGACACTAGCTAGGAAGAAGTGATGTGTTTCTCCCATTTGTGCACCTCTTAAAGTAACAAATGATTCTTAAGGTGAAGTGTTGGGGGGATATTTGATCTCACTGCAAAATCCGAGACTGTGTTAACAAAATCAACCTTGGATCTGGTGACAGAGCCAGCAACTAGTTGACAGGAATTAGCCATAAAGAGTATGAAAAAGCTAGGAAGACAGATGAGAGATACACAGGAAGGAGTAGGGAGGGACAGGTTGTTACATGGTCTTTTTGGTTTGGGATGGCTGGAGAGATGCTCTCTTGCTGGGTCTCTGGCCAAAATAGGAAGGTCAGCTGCTTGCTTCTTGGCCCCTCTGATCATGTAGTCATTTCTTCCAGTTGGTGTATTATTGGGTGCAAAAGGAAAGTAGCTCACAATATTCTGTGTTTTTTTATCTTGTTATTTTGATCCAGGGTCTTGCTCTGTAGCTACCCAAGCTAGCTTTGAACACTATCCTCCTTCACCACTCCCCAGCCCCATGCTAGGATGCACACCATACTTGGTTTCTACAAGTCTTTTGATATGAAAAATGCAAATCCCAACTGCAGATCCATTTTGGATACTTTACATGCTAACCCTGAAGTTCGCAGCACCCCTTCCAGATGCAACAAGTGAAACAGATGCCTCTGACAACAATAAGCTGCTGAACTACAAAAACCTTTATAAAACCAGTGTGCCTTTCGTGTATGAAAAGTGCTACCCAATGGGGAATTCTGAGATGGAATGTTCCATGTCTGTTTCTGTCCAGTAGGGTGGCCTGTAGCCACGGGTAGCTACTTAGTCTTTCCATTATGATTATTGTGGCTAAAATGTATTCAACAACCACATGCATTAGATTAGTGCAGACTGGTAGACCCTTCAAACATTCTGACAGATATTAAACATATGAGCCCATTATGGAGAATCCAAGAGCCTTTCCATAGAGGCACTGTGTTAAAAAAAAAAAACTGTCATTCCCTCAGCATGGACTTTTTCAAAATTTCACATTTTCAGAAAATAAAACCCCAAACCAACCATTCTTTAGGTTCCTTTTCTGTATGATTCATCGTTTTGCAAAAAAGTGTAAGACTGCTTTTTTTTTTTCCAACTCTGCCTCCTCTTCTACAGACAGAATCCAGTGATTAGATGCTGCATTTATTTAGGTTATTCTCACAAAAACCTGGTTTCCATGCTGCAAATAAATGACAGAAACTTTTCTACTAGATTATCCCAGACAGCACAAATGTTCTTCCCACAGTGGAGACTGGAACCACAGCCCCCTCACATTGCCAGTTACATCTGCTGATGCTTATAGAAGTGGTATCCACTTCACAGACAGGGAATGCCACATTCTTGGTGAGGACGGAGAATATGGCAATGCTTAAAAAGGAAAGAAAAATGTCTGGTTGTGACTCAGATCTATAGGATTAAGTAGCTGCAGAGTTTCTTTTGCTTCTGCAGCACACAGATTCTTTCTGTGCGTGGACCTGGCCATTTTCTGGCCAGTATTTCCTAAGCGATGTGATTGTGAATGCAGCACAAGCCATAACCTCCATTTCCCATCTGCAATGTGCAGTGATGTTTCAGGCTGGAGAGAGGGCTCAGGGGCTAAGTGCCTGTATTGTTCTTCCGCAGGACCAGAGTTCGGTTCCCAGCACCCACACCAGGTGGCTCACAACTGTCTGTAACTCCAGTTCCAAGAGATCTGATCCACTTCTGGTCTTCATGGACGTCCGTACTCACGTATACATACCATTTCTTGACACATAAACACATACTTATACATAAATCTTTTAAAGATGTAATTATATTTTATTAGAAAATACTTCGTCTTAATTAACTACTCCAGTATATTGTTTCATTTCTCTGTTTTTTTTTAAATTGCTAATTTACTGCGGCTTACTTACAAATTAAACTTCATGGTTAGGTATGGCAGAATGAGCACACACACACACACATATATGGTCCAGTACTATTTTTATTTAATAAACTGGGGGTAGGGTGGGTTTTACAGGGTATTCTTGAGGGCAATTCTAAGGTAAGATAGAAAGATGGGACATGGAGTGGAAAGAAGACATTCATCTCCGAGCTAAAGCCACTTGCTAGGTGAAAGGCAAGACTACCAGCACAATTAGTCACATCTGCGTGACAAGTTACAGACACACACACGCTCACCTTCACCCACACTCCTATGTTAGAATAACTAAGAAACAGGCTTAAAGCTAGACATCGTATGACCTCGGGAGGGCTGCAGCCCATTTTCCAGACATTTCCTAGGGATCTCAAATAAGATTATTAACCTTGTTTAGAGTAAAGAAAGCTTATCTCCCCAAATTCAAGAGACCTAGAGTTCTACCATATCAACTGAAACTTGGAGGGCACCTCTGGGGGCCCTGCGAAGACAGTAATTTCAAAACTTCGATGAGTGGTTTGTTTCAGAAGTGGTACACATTGGCATATGCTGGCGGACAGAGAGATACTCTGAGGAGCCCACATCTGTGCTCTGGATAAGCATTCACACTGCCCTCGGCGCTCTCTCTACTCATCCCTGTGCTTAAAGACCTATTTTAAAATGTCCTTTAATAAGCCCCAGGTCTGCTCCGTACCAGCTAGTAGGAAATAGGTCAGCCCGAACGGCGGCAGCGTCAGGTCATGCCCCTGTCCCTTGGCCTGGCTACCGGTACTACAGAAATTTTAAATCCAATCTTTTAGTGCTTTATGGACTATTGGGCAGCTTTGTTCTTTCTAGATCGCCTGTATGAAGAGGGTGGTTCTATTTTGCTGTTTTTTTTTTCTATACACACATATAATTTCAAACTGTTGTTACTCCCGCCCCTACCCCAGACATTTCTCTTCCTGTCCTTGGCTGTACTTGAATTCACTCGGCCTCGAACTCCGAGATCCCCCTGCCTCTGCCTCCTGAGTGTGCGTGCTGGGATTAAAGGTCAGCCACTGAGCCACTACTGGCCTGCTGCTGTTTTTCATCTCCAGACAAAGGCTGAACTTTTAATTCAGGTTATTCTCAAACTCAATTCTCCTGTCTGTGTTGGGATTCCATGTGCACCTCACACATATGTGGCAAGACACCTGTTCTTGTCTTTTCAAAAGTTGTATTTCTGCTCCACAGAACTTTTGCATGGGATCTATATTGGTCAAATGGACTATCAAGGTTCAGTTAGTATATCGGAGAAAAGTATGTAACTTGGTACGTATTTGGGAGGAGAGGGTGTATTGAGAGTTTATTAAAGGGCAAACCTAGGGAGTGTGAACTGGAAAACTATACAAGGAGACAATCCAAATTCCTCTCCATCCCTTCCTTCTAGCATTGGGGCCTTGAGGTCCAGTTGGGTCGTCTATGTGGAGGCCTCACTAGAGTAGGGCCTAGATCTTGGCCTTCTAGGCCAGTCCAGGCCATTTCCAGGCCTCAAAATGCCTGGGGTCACCAAGTTAACTATAGCCTTTGTGGGTTCCACATCATCAGACAGTGCAAACCCAGCCCTGGAACCCACATCTACCAGACTCCAGGGGTGCAGGCCTTGCCCTGGGCCCAGAGCCCCCTCTCATCCACGGTCTTGGGGGTGGGGCGGCCTTGCCTCGGGCCGGTGCTTTTCGCCCTTCGTTGGCCGCCAGAGGCTCCCTCTCTCCCTCTCCTGGGAATTCGCTGCTGGGCTCCCTCTCTCTGCGGCCCTAGAGTTAATCCCATCAGCCGAGGTGAGGCACCTGTTACCCCGGGCCTTCCTCATCCCCCGAGGCTGTCACCCCCACTTCACCGGGCCTCGCAGGCCGCAGGGCCCGGCTTGGGGACCCCCGCACGTGGGCCGAGCGGCGTCCCAGCCCCAGGCCGCAGCCG